ACATCAGCTGGCATGGGTCGATTTGGAGCTGATACAACTTATATAAGATCAAGGTTTCAAGAACCTCCATCCCTTGGCAATCATCTGGTTGAAGCTCGGGTGAAGAATAACTTAGTTATGGAGAAGGATGGTGGACCTAAGAGTTTGTCATCAGAGTTGTACAAACGGCGCACGACAGTGTTCATTGGTAGAGACAAATTCTTGGATATTGTATGTGATGGCCTATCCGAGTATAAATATGTGGGTCCCAATCAACGTGAAGATTTGATTTTGGCTTGCAGGTATGCGTAAATTTTTATTTTTTTTAAATAAAGCTATTTTGTTTACAATTTGTTTTTCCTCATAAAGTCTCAATAGCCTTTATTACATCTGGATTATGTGTAAGTTGGGTGAGGTTCAAGTATTGTTTGTTACCAAGCAAGATACTGAAATATCTTTTTGCAAACCGAGCAAGTCTCACAAATTTTATCATTCCATAGTGCTTAGCTACTTGTGGTGGTTTCTGATTCACGGGGCTGGTCTGTCTCTTATGGATGAGTTAATCAGTAGCTGGATGTGGTTTTTATACGTATTATGATTTGTCTTCAATGCTTGCTTTCATGTTTAATATATCTGTTGTGGCTGCTTCTTAAACTTATCTTTGGTTAGATGGAATCACTAGGAGAGAGACTGAGGGGGAAACACCCTTATCAGACTTGAACCTGTGTCTCACATGGCGCCTTGGGGGAAAAGACTTGAATTTCACTTGAGTCTTATTAATTAAAGCTGTAAAACGTATGTTTTTATGTAAGTTGGAATAGATTGTTTTCCTTTTTTGTTTTGGTAGGACAGTTCAGCATCATGAAATATCGAAATCTGTAGAAAACCAGTGCACCTGATTGGCATATGGGCCAATGTGTGTACAGTTATACTAATCATTATGATTTATTTATGCATCAAGTTACTGTCATCCAATGATGGTGTCTTTGATTGTATTGTCTAATACTTCCATACTATCCATATTTCCATGTAATATTGTTTTTCTTCTAAAATGTTGATAGTATAGCTATTTTGAGATTTAGTTAGGGATAGCATCATGATGATCTCTATATAATAATGCTTCCTTCTATCTCTAACTTCTAATACTTTAGCAATTATGTTTATTGCCGAGTGTTTAGCACCAATAGGAGACTTCTAGGCAGCCAACATTAGGGATTCAAATGTCAAACTCTTATAAATGTATGTGAACTTTAAAAAGCTTGTATGAACAGGAATAGTGTGTTCCATCTCAAGGTTCCCAGGCTTTCAGCCCTGAAGAGTTTTGGATTTAAACAAAGGTTCTTTTGACATGTACGCTTCGATACTATTGTGGAATCTCTTACATAGTGTTATTGATTCAATATTCTTTATCCATTAGTGAGATACATGTATGCAACTTTAGTTGTTTAGTATTGCTCTTAAACCATATATCTTGTAGCTGTAAGCTATACATTTTGTGGTGAATTACAAACAAGATTCAAGTATGGTTCACTTGGAAGATTGTTAAGTATGAGTGTATGCAAGCCTTTGGGATGCATCTTTTGCTTCCTATTGCTTAGTAGACAAGAATTTTTGTTTTTGTTTTTTTACTTTTTTTGAAGTGTTGTTTGTTTCTGCTTCTTGAGATGCAAGCTGCATCATGTTTGCATTATCACCTGTCTAATTGATTCACCCTTTCCATTTCTTTGAATCACATTGCTGAAAGTGATATGTGTTGATTGCAGAATCCGTGAGAGGAAGGAATCCATGACCATCTTGTTGTGTGGAACTAGTGGCTGTGGCAAATCTACACTGTCATCCTTGCTGGTATGTACACATGACTTGTTTAATATCAGCTACAACAATGCAATATTCCTTTGCTAGTTTGGGTGTATTGATCTAGTTTGTTGTCTTCTCTCTTGGTTCACTTATGATTTTTTTATTTTTATTTATTTTTATTTTTTTTAATGGGACACTTATGAGTTGTTATGTATTGTAGTTTGATAGATCAATTTGTTTGCTGTAAAATTATTGGTTTGTTGAGTTCTCTATTGTAATTTCCTGGAGATTTCATGCAATCATGTGAAGATTTTATGGCATTGGGCATCCACTATGTCACCTCTTTCTGCATGTTCTTTCACCATACTGTCCTTACCTGATGCCTGTATACATGGCTTCCTTTTAAAACGAAAACTGTGAGGAATAGATTTATTATGATGGGAACCTTTTTATGTGCTACTTGTTATATATCGTTTTTGTTGTTGAAGCTAAATTTCATTATTTGATTATCAATTTATGTTGGGTTCCTTCAGAACCAATTGATCCCTGTTTCAAATCAACCTCAAAGTTATTTCTTTTCTCATGTTTATAGGGAAGCAGATTGGGAATCACTACTGTTATATCAACAGATTCCATACGACATATGATGAGGAGTTTCGTTGATGAAAAACAAAATCCTTTGCTGTGGGCATCAACCTATCATGCAGGAGAGTATTTGGATCCTGTTGCTGTTGCAGAAGCAAAAGCTAAAAGGAAGGCCAAGAAAAAGGATGGGAGTACTCAATCATTTTTGAAAGATGGTTTGAATGATAATGTTCAAAATGGAACAACTGATCATCAAACGCCAGAGGTGGGTGCAAATAATACTGAGCTGATCAGTCCAAAACAAATGGCAGTTGAGGGATTTAAGGCTCAGAGTGAAATGGTCATAGAGAGTCTTGATCGGCTGGTCACTGCTTGGGAAGAACGGAAAGAATCAGTTATTGTTGAAGGGGTACACTTGAGTCTTAACTTTGTGGTGAGTAGATGTATTATTTGTTCTTAAAATGAATGCTTACCTTGTTCAACTTTAAGGTTCTGATATTGTCGTACCTTGTTTGGCAGATGGGGCTTATGAAAAAGCATCCTTCAATTATACCGTTCATGATATACATTACTAATGAAGATAAACATTTGGAAAGGTTTGCGGTGCGTGCAAAGTACATGACCTTGGATCCTACAAAAAATAAATACGTTAAATATATTAGAAACATTAGAACAATACAAGAATACCTATGCAATCGAGCTGACAAACATCTTGTCCCTAAGATAAACAATACTAATGTAGACAAAAGTGTAGCAGCAATCCATGCCACAGTTTTCAGCTGTTTACGAAGGCGTGAAGGTGGAGAGCAGCTGTATGACCCTACAACTAACACTGTAAATGCTGTTTTAGAGGAATTCAGGAATCAATGTGCGGCAGATTCGCTGAGCTCTAAAGGGATGTTTCAACTTATTCAGAGGCAGGGATCATCAAGACATCTGATGGCTCTTCTAAACGATGATGGTTCTGTAGCAAAGGCTTGGCCAGTAAATTCTGTTGACAGCAATGGCAATCCTAGTAAGGGGCATGGTGCTGACACTGAGATAGGAACACCTATGTATGGTCCGCTGCAAATTGGCAAGGCAGAACCAGTAAATCTTCAGTTCGGTCATTTTGGTTTAAGTGCTTGGCCCAATGATACTGGCTGCACGAGCCATGCCAGCAGTGTTGATGAGTCGAAGGCTGAGTGGAATGGTACTGATACTGGGAGTAAATATTACTCTTCCTGCTGCAGCTCACCTCGTATGTCTGATGGGCCTGCTAAGGAGGTAAGTCTTCATGTTCATTCAGATTTCTAATTGGAACCTTGTTTTTTTTCCTCATCCTTTTGATTTCATTAATATGCAAGCCTTACGTTCCAATGAAAAATGCGAAGTACCAAGTGTTTTTTTGTGCACCAAGCTTTGTTGAAACTCAATTGTTTTACAGCTAAAGGAAGAGCTCTCAGTATCTGGCAGTGATGAAGAGGTTGATGATCCACCCGAGATCGATAGCGATGAGGACCTGAGTGATGGTGACAAACATACTCAAGAAGAGGTAATATATTTTGTAATGTTATTAGGAACTAATGATTGTTGTCTTCCTCATGTAGTAGCTATTTATACGTTTTATTACTGTTTGACCACCAAAGTTATTAGTGTATAGACTCCGACTCCTATTGACTAAAACTCTATCACCTTGTAAAGCTGTGTTGATGTCTCGTCTTCAAGTTCTGGAAATAAATTATGCCATTGGTGCTTAATGGAAATGTGAATTTTCTACTTTTTGGTCAATTCCACCATTGTGCTTGAAGGAATGCAAACCTAACGGCAGTATTTGTTTCTTTTTCAGATGGAAGGTTCAGTTGATGAGGAATCCACCAAGTCAGATGAAGAGTATGATGATCTAGCAATGCAGGATGACCAAGAATATGGCTCTGTGTTGAGCAATCTGTCAGATGTGGTAAATAATAACAAGATGAGGGACAACTACAAGTACCCGCCAACTCTTGACATGTTCTTGAGGACTAACAGTGAACCTTTGTCTGATACATTCTGCCCATACCCTCCCGTGTTTGCTAAGAGTGATAAGAAGATTCTTCCAAGCAGTAGTAGGCTGAAGAAACGCTCCCTCAGTATTCCGGCTTTTGTAAAGCACGGGAAGGCTGCAGATGCCATAATTTCTGGAGCAGCGGACTCATAGTGCAACAATTAACCGTCTAACCTTGCTATTTTAATTACTTATCCTCTTTTAGAACCCTCCTTTCTTTTTCTGGTAGAAGGCATGTTGTTTTCTCAACTGGCAGGTTTTCTATTTTTTTTTCCTTTCGCTAGGGTATGTAGATCTGTATTTTATATGTTGATGTCCTCCCTTGATTGTATAGTGAGGGCTGTTGTAATCTCAGACCATTTAATTTGCTGCTTTTGGCTGTCAATAACTATAGATCTGTAGGTGTAACTCCATTAGATGTTAGTTTTCTGAAATTGCTGTATCTGAATAATAAAGTTTCATTTCTGCAATATATCTGCTTGCTTACATTTACCTGTAAATATTTTCTATCTTGCTATGGACTTGATTCTAATTTACTGATTCTTTAATTGGGATGGAATCAACTTAGATTTTGAACGAAATAAAGATCAAAATACAATTTTATTAGCCAAAGTAACACAAGGGAGAACTATAGAGTTTGGGATAAAATTTATTAACAAATTCTCTCATGAATTAAACTTGCATAATATACAAGACTTGATGGTACTTCTAACAAACCTAAACTTAAGACTAAGCAAGAACAGAGAAAAATAAACACTAGAAAATTATGGTGCTTCTATGATACCTGTGTATCCCAAAGGTCCGAATGATAACAGACTGGGTTGACAGATATAAAGCCTATTTGTGCACCTCACTAGTTACTGGAGCTATCCTTACGCAATTTCAACCTTGATCTCCAGATGCAATGCTGAGTTTATCATTGCTGCCATCCTTGTGAGGTATCAAGAAACAACACTATCAGCAAATATTACGGTGTTGCATACAACATACAATCAGGATAGATACCAGGGTTCGTAATTGACTTCCCCACAAGCACAGCAAAGGTCTTGATTGAAGTCTAAATGAATAGCTCCATTATATATGGATACATGGCTCATCACAAGCATCAAATCTTGGATAAAGTGGTACGTAATGCCTGTGTTTCTTTGCACACAAGACCCTACACCATATGACATTTTGCATAATAAGTTAATAGCCACAAGATTGCACAAGGGAGCTATGCTTATTGTTTTATGGCTTCAGCCAGGCTTCATTAGTTTAAAAGGCACAGAAATGGTTACAGCAACATTGACAGCTACAAGTTTCCTTTAACCAAGGGGCTGAAAGTTTAACAGCAATGGAGATTAATGGTGCTATAGGTCCACTGGAATTTGACTGGGATGTACAACCATACACATTGGTCATCCATCTATGCATATCCTCTCAAAAAGCTGCTGCCCAAATCCTATTCATTGGAGTATCAACCTATTTTGTCAACACAGCCAGTGGTTCCTGAAATGCCCAGTCTAACATTGACCGTTCCTGAGATGTCCCAAATCAAAACTTCAGCAGGACTGAAAGAGCTACGAGTAATTCGACTATTTCTGGATGTTGCTATAGTCTGACAGCTCTGATAAATCACCCCTCTTTAGACCTATACAGTTCAGACATGAGTATTGGATCATTGCTCTAAGGCTCTGCCTTCTGCAATGTTGATCATGCTATAAGTACAAAATCTGCGCCCATCCTTTGCTTGTTCTCCTCATTTCCAACTCTTCACATAAAAGACTATAAATATCATCATCATCATATTGACTAAGCTTGGGGTTCAGAATGGAGTTCTGACATGATTAATCTTGCTCAGGATGGAATTTCTTTATTTTTTAATTCTTCAAGTTCTTCCATCATCCCAGCTTTTTTGTATCCATCTACTAAATCATTCCACATAGCACCATCAACCTCACCTCCCTTGTTTAGCACCTCATTCACCAACTCCTTGACCTGACCCATCTCTCCAATCTTGCACATACCACTGATCAAACATCGATAAATACCATCACAGGGGGCAATCTCCTTCTCTTGCATTGTTCTAAGTAATGAAAAACCATTGCTTGTATCTCCCAATCTACAATAGCCTCTAATGACCATATAGTACAAATACGCCTCCACCTCAAAACCTTTGACTTGCATCTCCAAGAGCAACTTCTTTGCTTCATCAACCTTACCATAACCCGAATACCCATCAATCAAAAGCTTATAAGTCGTATCATTAAACGTAATTCCTTCTCGTTCCATCAAACACAACACTAAATCCAACTCCGCGAATTCCCACCTTCTTGAACATGCATCCACTAAAGTATTAAATGTTATAACATTAGGTTTAACCCCCTTCCCAACCATTTCTTCCACCAATTCTCTACCCATCTTCAACTCCCCAATCCCACACAATCCACTCACAACAATTGTCAATGAAAACACAGAAACCTCCATGCCTGAATCCATCATAAGACGAAAAAACTCCAAACCTAAATCAACCTTATCAGCCTTAACCAAAGCATACAAATGAACAGAACAAGTTCTCTCATCCCTCTCAACTTCTCTCTCAACCATGTACTCAAACGCAGTAACAGCCATATCAAACATATGATGATCAGAATACAATTTAAGCAACATATTCAACAATTTCGTAATAATTCTAGATTCCTTGCAATAATTCTCAACCCAATTTGTAAACTCACTAAAAGGGTACCTGTATTTCGCACCAATAATGAATTTCTGCAACAAAACTTCAGCATCCGAATACAACCTGGATTTAATTAGCCTGCAAATTATGGTAAAATGGGCATGAATATCAGGCTTGAATGAAAGCTCTGATTGATTATGGAGTACAATGTTGAAGATTCTCAAGCAATCAATAGTTTTCACAGATGGGTCTGAGAGAAAAGAGTGGAGTTGATGAGAGGATAGAGAAGTAAGGAAAGAAGAAATGGTGGTTTGGGGAGATGGGGTTGTTTCTGAAGCAGAAGAAATGGTGTTGAAAGATGAATTGATGAGGGTTTTAATGGGGGTTTGTTCATGGTGTAAGGATGAAGAAATGGTGGATGGAATTGCACTTTTTGCAGTTTTCAGGGTTTTCAGAAAATCTTGGGTAGTCATTTTGATGTTCAGAAATGGAGATTTTGTGGGGATGGAATGCTAAAATGAGAGTTCATTAATTAAGGATTGGCTGATTATAGTGAGCGCCTCAGCGGTTCTTCACTTCTGTGGTCGCTTAGAGGGCCATTAAGTTGGGTCACTGAATCCGATCTGGGATCGGTTATTTATCGATTTCGGGTTATTTGAATTTGGATTTGGATTTAGACTCGGTTGGTTTAACCATGTAGGGTGTTAAGTTTTCTCGACAATTGTAAGTTAAGTTATCAAAATAATTAAAAAAAAATAACAATATATGGTTAGTCATTTCAAATCACATAAAAGTCACCCCTAATACGTTTGCAAACTTCAGAGTGATTTGGAAAATTCGGAGTGATTAAAGCTCATAAAAATACTCCCTCTGTTCCATAATACTTGACACAGTTTCTATTTTTGTTCATCCCACAATACTTGATACATTACTTAAAATAGAATGAGACTACTAATAAAAAAATATTTTCCCATATTTTCTCTCCTCACCTACCCCACTCCCACCCCACTCCCACCCCACTTTGTTGTTTTCTTACGATATAAAAATACAAAGTTAATCTTTTATACGATAAATAAATATTTTAAATGACCCACTTGTAATTTTCTTAAACTATATGTCCACCCCAACGTCCCAAGTATTATGAGACGAAGGAGTAATAAACTTGTCTAAATCCGTATCATATCACATGAAAAATCCTTCCATTTTCCTCAATATAGAAGACTTCTCTGTAAATTTGTTGAGACACTTTTTTCACAAACCATGTTAGTTGCTTTGAACTAGACTCAAATTAAGCTAATTTTGAGTGCCTCCACAATCGATTAAGGAATTGTATTCCGTAGTTCAATTCTATTAGACAACCAATCCTTGAGTTTTAATTTGAGGGCGCGTGCCTGTTAAAAAAACAAATGAAGGCGCATGATAACTGTAAAAGCTAAATATATGATACTTCGTATGTGACCATCTTATTTGTTGCTTGTTGCTGACTTGCTGCAAATAATGAACAAGGTTCTTAATCTTTTAAAAGTGAGTCAATTTTCAAGTGAGGGTGTTCAGCAAAAGGGTCTTGGCTTTTTATTTTGGTCAAACAGCTAAAAAATATGCTTCGTTGTTGGATTTTAAGATAGCTTTTCAACCAAAAGGTGAAGCCAATAGGACTATTTTTTTCTATTGACTTTTGGCTTGTTGGCCTAATTTTTTACTAATAAACAGCTAACAGCCACAACTAATTTTATCAAACACTTTTCTAAACAGATGGCTTTAACAACCCATTTAAAAAGTCAATTCATATAGCTAATATTTCCAGATGGTCAAACAAGCCAAACAAATCAGCCAAAAACTAAAAGGCTGACAACCGATTGCCAAACAACCCCATTATGTTTGACACTGGATAAAGGAAGAATAAACAAGATTAAAGCCTAACTATTAAAGGTAGTACTGGTCTAAAACATATTGAGCTTGCGGCGGCTTGTTGCAAGATTATGAGCATCTTCGACCTTTGACCTCTGTTCCTTGGGTATGATACACCAGTCAATGTAATGGCCAATTATATTGATCTCATTGATAGTCCATAGCAAAGTTTTATCTCGTGTTCCCTTACCTTGCAAGAGGTCCGCCAACTTACTAGCATCAGTCTTGATTAGTATGCTTCGAATTCCGGCTTCCCAGCAACTTAACTGCTTCAAGACAAGCAACAGTTTCTGCTTGAAGGGCTGTATTTGCTATCCCGTAGGAGCACCCTTAAAGATTTGTTATGACCTCATTGCACTCCAAAGCCCATCCTGCTCCCCTTCTCCTTGTTGCCTTGTTCCAAGCCCCGTCAATTTGGATCGATAATCTTGCTGTGCCCCTCTCATTCCTTCCAAGTGTGAGCTCAAGTTGCTCATTTAGCAACTTGAACATTCAAGATCGTACGGAGAATTAAGAATTTTTTTACCCATGCCCAAGAGTCCTCTAAGTTAAAATAATCCAAACCCAAAGATATCCAACCCAAAATTTAATACTTGTAGCATTTAGAAATTTACACCATTCGTACATTCTCCTTCCTATGAGTAATACATTATATAGCCGTGGTCAAAATTACGTGTTGATATGCAAAACTCCAAATGATGCAAGCAAAAAAAAACGGTAAAAGTATTTTGGAAAGTAGAGAGAGATTCATAAAACAATAATTACAAAAAAAAAAATGAGACGTACAATTTACTCAGAAAGATCTAGCTATTTGATCACCTCAGGCAATAGTAAATTAGTCAAGTTGATTTCTTCAAAATATTTATCTGTGGATTGGTGAAGTCATTCCAAATCCCATCATCAACCAAAGAAGAACCAAACACAATCTCAATGTCAATCATGAAGCGGTATCATGACATCGGGAAACATATAAACAAGTGGTCAGCTTCCTTTAATAGGTACAACATCAAAACCTGCCAATAAATTATTCTTCTACTAACATTGTATATGATGCTAACCAAATAATCTTAGGCAATGCTGAGGCGGTGTGGCGGAACAATCCTAGATATGGAAGTTTTTGATTACCAGGCAATAAACCACAAAGGTAATTTCCCTGAAGAAAATTTCAGAATAGTCCACATTAAATCGAGGCGAAATGGGCAATACCTAATTGAATAACTAATTTCTGGCTATACATCAAGCATTGCTCCCCCTTCTTGGGACAGGCTTGTAAAGAACAACTGTGACAAACTTTGACCGGAAGCGATGAGTAAAACCGAGCGCCACAACAGATCTTGGAGCCTCCCTGTTTTCGATGTAAAGATGATTTACAATCACATTTTGAGGCAGGGGAAGTGTACCAGAGGTTTCTCTACTTGGAGGACAGCTTAACAGGGTATGCTGCAAGTGGGGAGGGACAACAGGTGGTTCATGTGCTTCATCTTCATTTCCAGGGTATACACTGCTATAACTTGAACTAGGCGAATCAGGAGTTTCAAATCCTACTACAGTACCTTCTTCCTGCGCAGCCAATTTTTTTTGGTTATAATCTAAATAAAGTACAATTCTAACAAGGTAAACACAGGCTCATGCTTACTCGCTCATCAGTGCAAGTGGTACTCATGTTGACAGAGTCACTCAGAGAGGCAAGGTCACATAAACAGAAAATTCTTTTGAGTGAAGAACCTGAAAGAAAATACTAGATTTTCAGTAAAAAGTTGAACAGTTTACAACAACCAAAAATGCAGTATAAATCAAACAAAAATATATTGATGCGCACACAAAGCTGAAACAATTCAAAATAGCATAGGAAAAGGATCAATATTTTGACCTTTTAACTCCAATAAATTCTTGGACAATGGAACAAAGCAGGTTGGTGCTCAGCATAACAAGCTAAAGTAGACAGAGCCAAAAAGAAAACCAACACAATGTCAAAATTATCATTTTAAATTTCATCTTCAGATTACTAAAAAGGGCATGGGCTCATCCATAAAATGATAAATTTGCTCATTCCATGTTTAAGTTTGCATTTCCTGAATGACATCATGTTTTAGAACCCCAATATGCACAGGTTTCTGATACCTTACCAGATGGGTTTTTGAAACTCATATCTTAGTCAGCAAAATGTACACATCAAAGGTGATAGGAGAATAAACTTGTAAAATAAGTTTAAAAAAAACAAAGGCCTAACTCATCTTTGCATAGAAGGTCCCCTCCTCTCCATGATCTGGCTTGCCCTTTTCCTACACATCCCATATAAATCCGTGACATAATCTCCCCCCCCCCCCCCCCCCCTCTTTTCCCAAAATAATACTCTGAATTGAGCTTAATTAAAGATCTCATCTCTACCATCTCAATCTGATTGGCCACCAAAGTAGGTGTGAAAAGATTGGTAGGAATGAGTTATAAAAGCTACTCTAGATTAGTTGCTAGTTCCACCTCCATCAAATGAACCTAACATCATCTTGAGTGCAAAAATGATTTGGGATTCGAGCATAGTTGCAAGGCCTCTGTCTAAAAAGAAGCAAGTCTCAAAAGGTGCTAAAGGCTTATCCACTTCTAAACAAAACACAGGACACTGGTATAGTATTGAAAGGTCCAGGGTCAGACATGAAAGTGTAGCTAAGAACAACTCATATTCCCATAATGTAGTCCCTTGAACTCAATACACAGAAAGTGATAAGACTTAAAAATGCAATCCCACTATCCCAGACACATTGAATCATAAAAAAATCAGGACAAAGATTCATAGCATAAAACCTGACAGAGCCAGGATTCTATAGTAACAGGTTAAAGGTAGCATAATATACACTTAACCTAAGCCTCGGGTAAAGAGCAATAATGCCCACCCTCCCAAATGAGAGAGCAAAGGAAGAAATAGAGGGTGGACAGCAATTAGGAGACCACAAGAAAATATTTATCAGGCAGAAGAACAGAAAGAAGTGATGAAGTTAGCTGACAGAAATTACATTCACTACTCATTCCTTAGACCACCAATGCCCCTAAGAATCAACATTTCACCAACTACCCATTCCTTAGACCACCAATGCCCCTAACAATCAACATTTCACCAACATTAATTCCAACTCTCATATCCATTCCTCAACACCTTACATGGTGTTGGACACTTGGACCTCACTCGGGCCCAGAGGGATAGAACAATAGATCCATACAGACAAAGGACCTAAAACAATTGGTAATGAGAACCAAGAGTATCCGAATACATGGTAAAAAGCATATGTATCATCTGATAACCTCAAATTATGTTCAGAAGGCTAAAAGCCTCTAGAACTTTCAAGGGGCACTATACCATCTAAATGTTACAAAAGCAACATATGCAATTCTAGAAATTTATCCTACCATATCAAACCAAATCGCTAAATATCAAATCATCCTAAGACCCTGAACATAACACCTAAGGTGGGGTGTGACAAGGAGGGAGTCACATGTTCACAATCTCTATCGTATTATTTCAAAGAATCTCTATCGTTAGTTGGTTACCCTAAAATTGCACATGCAACTCAATATCCTACTTACACACGGATACAAAGTAAGCTACATACTTTCCGGGCACGTGATTCAATTTATCATGCTCCTGAGTCAAAAAAACTACCCGTTTGATGCTCTTTCAACTTTGTTGAAGAAGATCTAGAAATCATAAGATAAAAGGCAATCCTAAACAACCAAGAAGAACATTCCCACCCTAACTCCTACCCAAGCCTCTTCCTTCGAGAAAATATGATATTAATAGATCCTTGGAAATTCATTTGAATTAGGTTGCTATTCCAGCTTGTAGCTCAAATCAACATATGTCAGGCATTTGGAAGACCAAAGAAGTAATATCTAGCCAAGTAGAGGAGATGAGTCATTTTCACTTGGGTCAAAGAACACCCTTCCTATTCAGACCAATACATGTGGGAGCTCTGTAGTTATGTTTTAGTAAATAGAGATTATTGCACATGTGCAATATCATTGGAATCTAAAGGGTTTAAGCTAAGTCGGAGTAAGAGTGAATATTTGGTAATGCCGCTTTAGTACTCAGAGGGGGACAA